TTCAAGGTTGGAAAGGCCAGAAACCTTTAGAAATACAGTCAGTGGGACACATTTCTGCTTGGTAGTCTTGGCTTTATTTATTTCTGAAATCAAAATGATCCCATAACCATTAAGAATGAGGAGAAACAGGGCTGGGGCTGTAGCTCAGTGGTGTAGCACTAGCCTAGCATGTATGAGGCACTGGGTTTGATCCTCAGCACCACATAAAAATAAGTAAAACAAACATGTCCATCCACAACTAAAATATATATTTTTAAAAAAGAATTAGAAATAGTAATAGTTACAAAATTGCCTTGAAAGGGTGATAAATTTATCATCAAAATTGAAAACTTTTAAAGTAGCTGAGGTAGTTAGAGTCACATCTGGAGAAGATGAAGTCAAAATAGGATAAGGAACAGTCAGAATTATTTTTTGAGTAGCAATTTAAATATTCCTTTTGCCAGAATGTGTCCATGAAGCAAGAAAGCTATTAATATGGGGATATTTTAGACTTAACAATAATTTGAATATGATAAGCTTTTAAATATACATCAAAGAAGTTTCTTGAGATGGGATCTTGCTATGTTGCCCAGGCTGGTCTCAAGCTCCTAGGCTTAAACAATTCTGCCTCAGCACCCCAGTGGATGGAACTATTGGCACATGCAACTTGAAGGATTGTTTTGGTTTTTGATTGCTTGTTTTTGGTACTGGGAATTGAACCCAGGGTGCCTTGTCACTGAGCCATACCCCCAGCCCTGTAATTTTTTTGGGACAGGGTCTCCCCAAGTTGCTTAGGGCTCACTAAATCTGCTGAGGTTGGCTTCAAACTTGTGATTCACCTGCCTCAGTCTCCTATTCACTAGGATTACAGGTGTGTGCCACTACACCCAGCAAAGAATTCTTAACAGATCTGTTTTGGCAATCAGTGATAATATATGCTGTGGCGAATACCTGTAATCCCAGCTACTCAGGATGCTGAGACAGGATTGATTGCAAGTTTGAGGCCAGTCTAGGCTGCTTAGTGTGAACCCTGTATCAAAATGAAAAATAAAAAGACTGGAGATATAGTTCAGTATTACAACACCACTGGATTCAATCCCCAGTACTGCAAAAAAGAAAAAAAGGAATCATATTTGCATTTTGTGATATACCATCTTGCACTCAGTTCCTTTTTTTTGGTATTGGGGATTGAACTCAGGGCACTCAACCATTGAGCCAAATCCCCAGCCCTATTTTGAATTTTATTTAGAGACAGGGTCTCACTGAGTTGCTTAGCTCCTCGCTAAATTGCTGAGGCTGGCTTTGAATTCACGATTTTCCTGCCTCTGCCTCCTAAGCCACTGGGATTACAGATAATGCACCACCACACTTGGCTGCACTCAGTTCTTACAAAGCTGTTGTGCTAGTAGCCAGTCTGAATTTAGGATAGAAGTACTTAACAGTACTTAATTTCAGCTTGCTGTCAGGCTTTCCTTAACTGAGTAACAAATAAATAAACATGTATGTATATATCCAATATAGATAGATACATACACATATATATATGTATACACATACATATATACATTTAGTGGTACTAAGGATTGAACCCAGGGGCACTTCATTGGGCTACATCCCCAGTCCTTTCTATTTTTTCTATAATATGTTTTGAAATGACATTAAGGGCCAGTCACATTAAATATGAAGTTCTAATTGGTCAAGTGGAGAAAAAAACAGAATTTAGGCCTTCTGAAAATCAACTTCATACTATCTTTGGGCATATAATAATAAACCAAATTCTTCAAGATAGGTATTTGTGGGGATTACATTACTTTCTAGAGTATGTAAATAATCATCTGTTCCTGACATTTTCTGGTAATGAAATACAAATTTATTTTAAGAAAGTGTGGTGGGGTATGGTGGTATATACCTGTAATTCCAGCATCTCAGGAGGCTGAGTTGGATCCTTTTTCAGCAGGATCACAAATTCAATACCAGCCTAAGCAACTGAGCAAGGCCCTAAGCAATTTAGCAGACTTTGTCTCAAAATAGGGTTAGGGATGTGGTTCAGAGGTTAAGTACCCCTGGTTTCAATCTTCAGTACCAAAAATAAGAAAATTTTGTGTAGACTACTATGATATAAATTTTTTGGAAAAAGTGAGGTTTCTATACCTCACCTCTACACGGTTCTACACCATATTACCTAAGTTAGACAAATCTTCACTTTTTCTTTTTTTCAGAATTGTGAAATTCCACCCAGGGCCTCACACATGCTAGGCAAATGCTCTACCACTGAGCTACATCACCAGCCCTGTTTTTTTAATTTTATTTAGAGATAAGGTCTCACTGAGTTGCTTAGAGCCTTGCTTTTGCTGAGGTTGGCTTTGAATTCACGATCCTCCTGCTTCAGTCTCCCAAGATGCTGGGATTATAGGTGTGCACCACTGCACCCAGCCCTTTTTAAAAATTTTTAATTAAGATTAGTGTTTCACTAAGTTGCCCAATCTGGCCTCAAATTTGCAAACTTCTCACCTCAGCCTCCCAAGTAACTGGGATTATAGGCTGTGCCACCACACCAGCTAATTCTCATTTTTTTCTTCAGCTTTAAATTATAAAGCACAAACCTCTTCAGTGTATATATGAGATTATGTAGGGTAACAAAGTAAAAGGTATTCCATAAAGTACACTTGAATTCCAGGGGCAAATAATGATAAAAACTAAATGTTAAAATTTATTTCATCATCATGATTACAGACATTATATATAGGGCAGGGTGGGCAAACAAGGCAAATGAAGAAAGCACCTTTCCCCTCCATTTAACCAGATGCAGCATTTTGACATTTTTATGATATGCAGGTTGACTTAATTCATTAACTTGGGTTGATAACTGGCAATAACAAATTTTTGTAGTTTGGATTCTTTTGCCATAGCAACTCCAAGTAACGTAATTCCAGAACTATGCTGTGAGCTCTGAAATGGTGTTCATTTTAACATTCTTGAAGCTTTCATGTCTTAATTGGACACCTCTTATTAAGGCAGGGAACTGTTAAAGAATGTCTTCCTCTTTGCTTACCCAGGCCACCAGCAATCTTTTTCAACTGTTATAAAAATAAACTGGATGAAACTGTTGTGCCTGGATCCCTTTTTTAAAGCATTAGCTCCCTGAGAGAAGAAAGAAGTCCTAACCAATTGTTTTCATGAACAACGACCCCAGTACAATGTACCTAATGTCCTTTGCAGCAAAACCAAGAAGTCAGGCAACCCTGCTCATCTTGACTAGTTTATCAATAATTTATATACAAGATATATTTAAAGCTGATTTCAGACCAGGTATTGCAACCATAATCCCAAGAAACTGTTCAGTTTTAGCCCACTGAGGTTCTGGAAGATGCCAGATCAAGTGAGAAATCATCTCAAAGCAGAGTGGTGGTTCATCATCTTTTACAAGTGAGAGGAAAACATCAATAGAGAAGAAATGAAACAATTTCCTCCTATATTAATTGAATCCTACAGCTATCTTCACAGCCTTAGTTGACAAAATCCAGAGTCCTCAATTTCCTGATACAGGGATCCATTTTCAAGGTGACAGTTAATATCAAGAAGAGTTTTCAGGCTTTTCTTTGCCATGGCCCATGAACTCCAGTCCTTCAATAGGAATCTCTTTCTCTTTTATTGCTTTCTGATGGAAAAAAGAAAATACATTATAAAGTTGTATAGGAAACTTAAAATCAAAACTTTGTAAATAAAATGTGTTGCCACAAAGGTAAAATCAGAATGAACTACATAGGGGCTGGGGTTGTGGCTCAGTGGTGGAGCTTTTGCCTAGCATGTGTGAGGCCCCAAATTCGATTCTCAGCACCACATAAAAATAAATGAAATAGAGGTATCCTGTCCAACTACAACTAGAAAATAAACATTAAAAAAAAAAAAAAAGAATGAACTACATAGACTCACAACCCAAGATTCAAATGACATACTTTTTTAACATTACCATTATAAAGAAAGCAAGTGTAAGAACAGAGAGATTCAAAAGGAGTTGCGAAGGGAACCGTTAAAATTCAAAATTCAGAAGTGAAATCTGACAAATGCCATCCCCACTATTTTAGTGATAGACATGAGTTCAAATCTGGATTCCAGGGCTTACTGGCTTTGCCAGCCTCACTGTCCTCATCTGAAAATAGGGTAAAGGCAGCAACTCCCTGGTGGAATAACAGAAGGATATTTTAGGTTAACTTAGGGAAATGCTTTTCCCAGGGCTGTTTTTTACAATGCAGAGCACTTATACGCCCCTTGCGCAAGAATGAAGCTTTATTAGCTCCAGTTAGTAACCGGTCCGAAAAACAGGCCAAGGAAGGAATTATACGAAAACAACGGGATCCTCCATAGTGTGGAACAGGCCAGAAGACGGTAACCACCTGGCCCACCCTACAGTAACAGTGGAAAGGTGCGCCACGGGCAAAAGAATCACGGAAACCTAGTACTAGTGAACTTAAGCCAATTAATTTACGCTTCTGAGTGTTAGTTTCCCACATATAAAATACAGATAACTGTGGCCATTTTGCAAGTTCAGGAAGAGCACCTAAAAAATGAACCAACGAATGTACTGTGCTCCGTAAAAAGTAAAGCATTGCAAAAACGTTGAACCGGAGAGACATTCGGGGGACTCAGTGGTGATGGTAGGGGAGAGGGCTGCTGCCACCGGCCTCACTGCGGCTTTCTTCCACCCTCCTGATGCCAACGTCCGTCAGACGCGAGGCTTGTGGCTGGGGACACAGCGGAGAACGCGGGGCCTAGGGGTAGACCAGGACTCGGGTGCGGCTCACCTGCACGCACTGCTGGTAGCGCTTGAAGAGGTCGGTGCACGGATCCCCGGAGCCGTCTCCCTTGAGGAACTTTTCGGCAAACCAGCGATTGAAGCACTGGTCGTACTCGCGCTTCATGTCGGTGCAAGCCTCCCCGACGCTGTTCATGGCTATGGCGGAGGCGACGGAGGCGCACTCTGATGTCATCACTCTTAAACGTGTCGCTGGGCAGTTCATTTGGGCGCACTACGGGGGCCGAAAAGGGAAGAAATGTGGGCGAGGGCGGTGTGGCTGGCTCTTCGGGTCCCGCTGGGCGGGCGCCGGGGCTTCACCTGCCAGGCGGATTCTCAGGTAAAGGCCAGGGGCGTCTAGGAGGGCGGCTGAGAGATGGCCTAGGCCTCTCCGTGATCCACGTCCCTTCCATATCCCCAGGGAAGCGGGCGGATCACGGCCGACGTGATTGAGCACCTGGAACGTCTAGCGCTGGTGGACTTCGGCAGCCGCGAGGCGGTGGTGCGGCTGGAGAAAGCCGTCGCCTTCGCTGACCGGCTCCGCGCGGTGGACACTGACGGGGTAGAGCCCATGGAGTCGGTACTGGAGGACAGGTAAAGTCGCTGCGGTTTCCGAAGGCTTGACTGTGGGCCTTCACAGCGGTCTGTGGCGGCGGTTAATGTGCCGTTTCAGAGGGTGAAAGAGCTGTAGCGCGATTGGGAGTTTGCCCACTGTCACCCCGCTGGTAAGTGGCTTCGTTCTTCGCTTTGTTCATTATGGATCCTGTCACTCCCATTTAGAATCCACGAGTCCTCCCAGCGTACGGAGGGGCGAAATCCGAACTGCTTGTTAATCATCATCACCTTTCAGTCCCTACATTAGTCCTTGCCTAACCAATCTGACATACTAGTCCCTCCCTCTCTATACACCGTCCCGCTCCGGCTTTATTTTGTATTTTTTTTTTTTTTTTTTTTTTTTTGCTACTAGAGATTTAACTCCAGGGGCTCTAACCACTTAGCAACAATCCCAGCACTTTGTTATTTTCAAAAAATATCCCTTTTTCAAAAAAAGGGTCTGGCTAAGGTGCTCAGGGCCTTGTTAAATTGCCAAGGCTGTCTACTTGCGAGCCTCCTGAGCCGCTGGGATTAAAACACACTGGCTTCCTTAACTGCTTTCCCACTAAGTCAAGTTCATTCCGTCCCTGGGATCTTTGCATTTGTCCCCACCCGTTGCATAGCATTCTCCTTCTCGGCACTTGATTCTCAGCTCTTCTAAGAGAGCCTTTCCTCACCGCTGCAACTGCTCTCTCCTTCCAACCGCTCACTCTTTATCCTTTTGTTTCCTTGACATTTTATTTTTTACATATATAATCTTTTTTGTTGTTGTGATATTTATGTGGTGATGGGCCTCATGCATGCTAGGCCAGTGCTTTACCACTGAGCTTTCTCCCTAGCCAACATTTTATATTTTGTTGATTTATGTCTCTAATTATTACAATGTGAGCTAATTTTCTGCCTTGATTAGTGTTATTACTGTTTCAAAAATTTAAATGTACAATGTACAAATTGACCTGATGTTTTCTTATGGAAAGATATGTGAAAGTCCATCAAGATACAGATGCAAAGAGGTAGAGCACTTGGGAAGCCCTGGGTTTAACTCCCAGTTGGTGGCAGGGGGTGGGAAAGAAAAAAATAAAAATGCACAGTGTCCACTGCAAAACTGTTTATAACACCCCAAACCAAGCCAAACCCATAAACAACCTAAATAAATAACAAATACATCATCATACAATGTAATATTTGGCAGTTGTTCAAAATAATGTAACTTAACTAGCTGGGCAGAGTGGTGCTTGCCTGATATCTCAGTTATTTGGGAGGGTGAGGCTGGAGGGTCACAAATTCTAAGCAAGCCTCAGCAACTTAGTCAGACCCTACCTCAAAAATGAGGCTGGGGATGTGGTTCAGTGGTGGAATGCCCCTGGGTTCAATACCCACTACCTCCCTAAAAAAAGAAACATGTTATTTATATGACATATTATCAGCATATAAGTCAAGTAACTGTGTATATGGAAATGTCTCCAAGGAAAGCTAGGCATGGTGGTGCACACCTGTAGTACCAGCTACTTGATAGGCTGAGGCAGGAGGATTGGAAGTTAGAGGCCAACCTGGGCAACTTAGCAAGACCCTGTCTCAAATTAAAAAGAAAAAAGCAGGGGTGCTGGGATGTAGCTCAGGGGTAAGGGCCCCTGGTTCTATCCCCAGGACCTGAAAAAGAAAAAAAATTAAAATAAGCCAGGTGCGGTTGTGCACACCTATAATCCTAGTGACTGGGGAGAGTGAAGCAGGAGAATCACAAGATAGAGGCCAGCCTAGGCAACCTAGTGAGACCCTGTCCCCAAAGAGAAAAAGGAGCCAGATGTAGTAGTGCATGGCTCAGGAGGCTGAGGCAAGAAGATTGCAAGTTGAAGGCCAGTATCAGCTACTTAGTGAGGTCCTAAGTAATTTAATGAGACCCTGTCTCAAAATAAAAGGGGCTGGGGATGTAACTCAGTGGTTAAGTTCCCCTAGGTTCAATCTCCCTAGTATTTAAAAAAAAAAAAAAAGTCCCCAAGATACATTCAATAAAAAGGCCAAAAATTAGAGTATTTGATGCTTTTATGTAACCTATTTTTATATTCTATATATTCTTTATACAAGAAATACTGTTAACCAGTTTTAAAGGAAACAGGAACTTGGATGTGGTGGCCAACACTGTACTCCCAGCTACTCCAGAGGCTAAGGCTAGGGCTTTGCTTGAATCTAGTTCAGGGTCAGCCTAGGCAACACAGGAAACTGGTCTTTTAAAAAAAAAAAAAAGGTGGGAATGTGGAAGGAAACTTTATACTATATATATTTTATACCAGGGACCCCAAACATAAAGGCCTAAGGGGGAAGAATAATACCTAGTGAAGTAGTGTAGTACAATTTTCGGGGGTAGGTCATTGACAAACTGGCTTGTGAATACAAAAAGGATATAGCTTCTACCCACCAATTGTTGCTAACTCTTAATACAACTTAAAAATATTCTTTTTTTGTTGGGGAAGGGGTACTGGAGATTTAACTAAGGGATAGTCTACCACTGAGCTACATCCTAAGCCCCTTTTAGTTTTTATTTTGTTACAGGTTCTCACTAAATTGTTTAGAGACTCATTAAGTTGCTGACCCTCTTACCTCAACTTCCTGAGTTGAGCAGATTTGCTAGGATTAGAAATGTGTGCCACTGTGCCCAGCTAAAAACAGTCTATTTTGAAAAGCATCCTGGATTCAATCCCTACAAAAAAACAAAACAAAAAAACCCCACCCAAAACCATGAATTTTTTTTTTTCTTGTTGATAGATCTTTTATTCATTTATATATGGTGCTGAAAACCAAACCCTGAGTGCCTTACACATGCCAGGCAAGTAAGTGCACTACAGTTGAGCCACAGTCCCAGCCTGAAACTATGAAACTTGAGGTGACCATTCCAGATACAAACCATAATGAGTTAGGGTCTTTTTCAGGACATGTGGCTCTCGTGATGTTCAATAAGCTGATAATCACTTGTATTTATACATCTATATGAAGGTTGTTGATTGTCTACTCCTCTCCTCATGCTCATGCAGGGAGCATATTTGGTTTTGCTCCTGATGTTTTTAATGCCTAGCACTGAGTAGATACTCCATTTTCGCTGAATGAATTTTTTTTTTTCTTTTTTGGTATTGGGGATTGAACCCAGGGGCACTTTACCACTGAGCCACCTCCTAAGTCCTTTTTGAGACAGGGTCTTCCCAAATTGCTTAGGGCCTTGCTAAACTGCTGAGACTGGCCTTCAACTTGTGACCTTCCTGTCTTCAGCCTTCTGAATTGCTGGAATTACAGGTGTGCACCACTGCACCTGGCTGAATGAATGTTCTTTACTAATATCGTTGTTAAAAGAAAACAGAACAAAGAATTCAGGGTTTCCTAAGTCACCAGTGTGTAACTGTAAAGAAATGCATAGCAGCTGGGAAGAGGACAGGGTGGATATAATCTATTACATTTCCATTAGAGTTTGTGAAAAAGATAACAAGGAAATTGCAGCTGGAATCTCAATTTGGCCTGTTACTGACCTGCACTGTCTCCATAAATTTTAAATTGTTTGGGTTAACAATTATTATTATTTAAATGTGATATTTGTGGGATTTAAATTTTTGAACAAACTGACTGAATCTGAAACAGAACCTGGTAAAGTGAAGACAGGTATTCACCAGGGTTTTAGGAAATAGTCAATACTAGGTGTAAAAGTCCTGACTGGCCAAGAGAAATTTCTTTGCATACTAATAACATATCATTTGGTTTGAGCTAAAAAGCATTAGTGTGCTTAATGTTAGGGACTTTATATGCATTATCTCAGTTATCACAACCTTGAAAGACATGTTTTTAGATGTAAAGGCTCAGAATTTCACAGGTACTAGAGAATCCTCTTCTCATTACCCCTAGGTGCACGCCTATAATCCTAGTGGCTCAGGAGGCTGAGGCAAGAGGATTGCGAGTTCAAAGCCAGCCTCAGCAACTTCAACAATGCTCTGAGCAACTTATGTTGTAACTTGCGAACCTGTCTCAAAACAAAAAAAGGGATGAGGATGTACTTCAGTGGTGAAGCATCCCTGGGTTCAATCCCCACTACTAATCTACCCCCACCCCTGGAATAAAAATAAAAAGAGCTTTGGCAGAACTGGCCCATCAGCTAGCCCAAGGATCAGCAGAAGCACAAATGAGTCACTTTTCTTTATTCTGTGCTGTCACAGCACTTTCCGTTTTTTTTTTTTTGTTGTTGTTGTTGTTGTTTTAGTAGTATTTTCCTCAGCTTCTGGTGTGATTTGTTTTGGAGCTTTAGTGGGCAGGGAATTTTTTCTTAATTATTTTATTTTTTTAATTGTAGTTGGATACAATGCCTTCATTTATTTCTATGTGGTGCAGAGGATCAAACCCAGGGTCTTGCATGTGCTAGGTGAGCACTCTGCCAGGGTTCCTCATCTGATGAGAACACAGAAAAAAAATGAAGTATTTTCTTCATTTCTTTCAAAAATAGTACATAACTAATGTTAGCCCCGATGCATAGGAAATAAATCAATCTATTCACAAAATGGATGCCTTAAGAGTATTTATATTAACTTATCTTTTTAAAAAAAATATTTATTTTTATAGTTGGACACAATACCTTTATTTCACTCATTTATTTTTTACATGGTGCTGAGGGATCAACCCCAGGGTCCCACACGTGCTAGATGAGTGCTCTACCGCTGAGCCACAACCCTAGCCCCTATATTAACTTATCTTGTAGAACTCTAATTGAGAAAGGAAGTGTACCTTTCTCAAGCAATAACTGACCTGAGGCACAGCATCCAATCCCCAATACCACAAAAACAATAAAGACCAGAATAGTTCATTTGCTTCTGTTTTAAATAAGATCCTGGTGTACAGGAAAGTTAAGCAATTTGCCAAATGAAGGGGTTCGCTGTGCCACTAGAAGAGGTGCTGGTTTCATTAGCACATGATGAAGAAGAAAATGGGGGAGGTGTGTATCTATTAGGAATGACTTCACTGTAAATAGTAATTAAGTGGAAACGTGGTATTTATTTAAAGATGTGAATTTTGTTTTCCTGGGAATCTCACTTACATAGGAAACCTGTATCCAATGACTGAACAAATCAATTACTATTAAACCTGTTGGGAAGCAGTGGCTTTTAAGCTTCTGTTGTTGATAGCAGAATCTTTGTCAGAACATTCAAATACTTCAAATAAGTGATGGAGACCAAGGTATAGTAGGTTTACTGGCTCTTTCTGAAAATTGAACATGCCATTCAGCACCTTCTTTTTTTCTTCAGCACCCACTTTTTACTGCAAGGAATGTGGGCCCATCAATATCAGATCTTTTTTTCTTTAAAATTATTAGTTGTTGATGGACCTTTATTTATTTATGGTGCTGAGACTTGAACCCAGTGCCTCACAAGTGCTAGACAAGGGCTCTACCACTGAGCCACTACCCCAGTTCTAATTTTTTTAAAACACTTATTTTTTAGTTGTAGTTGGACACAATACCTTTATTTCACTTATTTATTTTTATATGGTGCTGAGGATTGAACCCATGGTCTCACACGTGTGAGGCGAGCACTCTACTGCTGAGCCACAGCCCTCCCCCCACCACTTTTTTTTTTGGCTGCTAGGGATTGAACCCAGGGCCTTGTGCATGTAAGGCAAGCACTGTACCAGCTGAGCTATATCCCCAGCCCCTGGTCTTATTTTTAATGCCATTATTTTCAATCTTCCCAGCAATCATGAAGCATTTTACCTGGGTTTCAAGCCCCAGTATGACACGGGAAAAAAAAAAAAAAAGACATATTAAAAGAAAAAAGAAAGTCCAGTGGTTACCTTTATGGGTGGTTTTTATTTTTGTTCTCCAAGTTGTCTTAAATGAATGCACAATCCCATTAAAAATACCAACACACAGCCCTCATTTTTTGAACAAACTTAAGGTCTGATAAGATCACTCTTCAAGGCCACAGTTAAGATAGATTAAGACCAACTCTCGTAGTATGAGTAAATATTTGTTGTTTCTAGCTCTGGGATGGATGCCAGGATTCTTTTAGTCCTTTCCTAAAATAATCTTTTAACTTAGCCTTCATATACAGGCAGCCTTTGCCCAGGTATTCATGTTATTCCTGCCCTTCTGTGACAAAATTCAAATCCCATTAGGGACAGGCAGAGTGGCACACACCTGTAATCCCAGTGACCTGGAGGCTGAGGCAGAAGGATCCAAAGTTGGAGGCCAGCCTCAGCAACTAGCAAAACCCTATCTCTAAATTTAAAAAGAAGAGATGGAGATGTATTTCAGTGCTAGAGCCCTTGTCTAGCTTGCGTGAGACCCTGGGTTCAATTCCTTGTACCAGTGGCAAAGAAAAATAGATTCTGAAAATTAATTACCACTTACCTCATAGTTGTTGGGAGAATCTATAAACTGTCGATGAAATATTTGGTCTACTCCTGATCATAGCTCCTTTATCCTGGAGCAGTGACCATAAATCAAGAATATGCTGTTCCCTTGTTCTCCCGTTCTTGACCTTGTCCACTGCCCTAGAAGCCCCATTCTCTCCAATGGTAACTTTGAGCTTCTGGGTTTTGTAGATGTCTGTACTTGAGATCCGACAACATAGCAGAAGGCAACTGTGCTGAAGAACTACTGCAAAACTCCCATCATGTGGTGGAAGAGTATTTTGTGGCCCCCCCAGGTATGTGTGGCATTAGGAGGGCAGTAGAGTCCAGGTATCATACTTACTCTATGGTGTAGTAAGCAATGGGAAACAGCAAAACAGGACTGGGGGTTTATGGTGGGTGGCAAATCTGAAGCACTGCCTAAGGAAATAGCTGGCATTCACTGCTTCTTTTGAGACCATCAAGCAGGAATGTGAGCCCATTTTTCCAGAGAATGTGGGTATCTGGCATTTTTGTAAGATATTTGCAAAATTTTAATTGTTGGCAATCAATTCAAATTAAAAACAATGAAGTACTATGCAGGCCAAATAAAACATACCTACAAGCCATATTCCTGGAGACTGTCATCTTTAACCTTACTGTAGGAGCTTTAAAAGAACTCCAGGCCAATAAAATCCAGAATCATGGGTAGGTTGAGTGTTTTTATCTCCTGTGCATATGTGTCAGTACTCAGAGCTGCTGCACCCCTTTGGCAATTGAGAATGGGACATCTCTTGGGGGAGAAGCGTTCTGGGCAGCCTCCACATAAAACATCAGCTCTAGTCAGTGCAGAGGTTACCTCTTCAAGGGACTCATTAAGACCATCCAGGTTAGGACAGTTCTGGTTGCCACAAGGATAGAAAGGCAGGCTAGCAAACTTACGACCTAATTCTAAAACATGCCTTTGATTCACTTAGAGACAAGAAATTTTATAAACTTGTCATTGCTTTAGCAGATGATTACTGATCAAATACGTACTAACTTCCAAACAAACCTTGCTTCAGACCACTTGTTGGAACAAAATGAATGCAGTCTATCTCTACTCCTTATTGAAAAGTGTGCATTAACTTGGCTTTACTTATAACTGTAATTCTTTCAGATACCCAGGAAAATGGGATTGAAGCCACACTTACTTCCATGAAAAACAAATGATTAGTTAGATCTGGCTAGAGCCAGGTAGATAGCAGGTTCAGCTGTAATATTCTTTCCTATTGTTTTCAAACAGGTAATATCTCTTTGCCACAGCTGGGTGAACAACTGCCCTTCCCAACAGACTCGAGTAGTCATTCTGGGAAGGGGATACCCCATGAGCATGTGGAAGAGCAATGATGGTATTTTGTTACTGTGAACCCTATCGTTCCCACTTTTTTAATCACCTGAAAAAAATGGATGTTTAAGCATTTCTTAGTATCTGACTCTTCTGAAGACAGAACTGGAAAAAATCTGGCCAAAACAAGGCACTGAATTCCTGATGGTAAAGAACAAGTCAGCTTCCAAGGAAATCAATCTTGTACTTGCTTGCAGACCTGTTCAGTATGGAAAACATTATTTCCTCCTAAAAAACTGTCTACCAAACTATATAAGTGAACTTGTATATATATATATATATATAAAAACTCTGGTAGAATATTAATAAAAATCTGATAGACAGTATCTGATTACTGTGACAACCTGAGTTGTCATCTATCTTTCCCTTACCAATTGTACTTACATTTGTTCTTGGGTATTCACCTTATTCAGAAAAAGAGGACTAACTTTCTGCTCAGGTCTTAAAAGTGTTCAAATTGGCTGGGTGTGGTGACACACCTGTAATTCCAGCCACTTAAGAGGCTGAGGGAGGAGTACCACAAGTTCAAGACCACCCTCAGCAACTTAGTGAGGTCCTGTCTCAAAATTAAAAAAAAAAAAAAAAAAAAAAAAAGTAGATTATAGCTTGAACTCTTAACCTAAAACCTTCTTCCATCCCACAAAGTGATTATATGCAAATATGTTACTAGTTTCTCTTTCTGGAAAAAAAAAAAAAACTTATAAAAATAAAAATAGTCCTGGAGCAGGCTGCAGTGGCCATCACTTGTAATCCCAGTGGCTCAGGAGGCTGAGGCAGGAGGATCCCAAGTTCAAAGCCTGGGGATATGGCTCAGCGGTTAAGCAACCATGGGCTCAATTCCTGCTACCAAAAGAGGAAAAAAAAAAAAAAAGCCCTGGGCATTTTGATTCTTCCCATTCCCTTATCTGCAATGCTCCTTTTTTTTTTCTTTTAGGCAATTTAATTTACAAGGTTGGCCTTGAATTAGAATTTTGAATCTGTACTTGAGGTTGAAGTTCTCAAACCACTATCAGAGCAACTATCATCCCCAAGTAAAACAATCTATATCTACTCCTTACCAATTGGGTACAAGAGGCTGACACAGGAGGATCCCAAGTTGGAGGCCAGCCTGAGCAATTTAAAAAGACCCTAAGCAAAATAAATAAAAAGGGGCTGGGGATGTAGCTTAGTGGTAAAAGCACCCCTAGGTTCAATTCACAGCATCAAAATACAAAAACAAATTTGGTACAAGGTGCTCCTATGACTCAATGATTTTTTTTTTTTCCTTAAACCAGTGTACCTCTTAGGTGAAATCTATGTACTTAATCAAGGACAACAACACATGTCAATTACTAAACGTTTAAAATATATTTCTAAACAGAATGGGCCGACTCAGTCACAGTAACTGCTGATCTCCATAGCAGAGCAACCCACAAAGACATAGCACTGATTTTTTTCCCATAATCAGGGGTGAAAAATATACAACTTGTTTCTGAACCAAAACCACAATTTCTGCAGTTTAAACATTTCACTGCTAATATGGCCCTGGTAGAAATTATGTAGTTTTCTTTTTCCTTAAAAAAAAAATTAAAAAAATTTCCTAAGACGCTAAATCATCAATCTGGAATGTAGATTCTGAGCACAAAGCAGCTCAGTTCTTCTAAAAAATAAAGAAAAAAATTCCCATCACCTGTCTCAGTAGGGCCTGAAAGGAGAGAAGTAGTGTGGGGAACCCCTGCTTTGGTATGGAGAGTCACGGCCCCTTGACCCAGACCGAGACCGTGAGTAGCCATAGCTGGTGCTTCTCTCAGGATAAACTCGGATGTAAGAAGTTTCACCCTGAAATTTGAACAGAGTAAAGAAAGAAAAAAAATAAATAAAAATAAGAGCCAGAAGAATAAGCAAACCAAGATCTAATCAGCTGCCTAACAATAAGTCCTTAGCTCTTACCATACCTGGCAGTGCTCTTATTAAATCCTCACAATGTTATAGAGGTAGGTACTCTTACTATCCCATTTCAAAAAGGAAGAAAATGAAGACTGACACAAATAATAAGTGGCAATTTGACATTTTAAATGTGCATCTACAGAAGCTACCTCCTGTTTACTACCTCCTAGGTCCTGGGCTAATGCTCTCGTTATCCTCCTAGATTAGCTTCCTGATAAGTCCAGTGACCAGGTTATTATGAAACTATTTTACATATAGACACAATCTAAGAAATTAATAACCAGGGGCTGGGGTTGTGGCTCAGTAGTACAGCACTTGCCTACCATGTGTGAGGGACTAGGTTCAATTCTCAGCACCATATATAAACAAATTTATTAATAAAGTTTCATTGACAACTAAAAAATATTTTTTAAAAAATTAATAACCAGAAGAATCATATCTAGGCTGGACTATCTCTCAGCCCTCTGTTCTCAACCAATTGTTTGTCACATTAGGTAAAAGTCAGTCATTGGATTTACCCTTATTGAAGCCCTGCCTTATAGGGAGGACCAGGTACTGTTTTGTTTCCAAATTCAAGCTGTAAATGACAGTCTGAGCTAAAGCATTGTTAAGCCATGCAAGGACCAGCCTCCAAATCATAAAACTAGAGAATTATATGAATTCTCAGAAAAAGAAATGAGCCTAGAGATCTATCTTCCCCAGGTATCCCCAAACACCATAGCAACTCAGGATAGATAACCAGAAAAGAAGGTCAATGTCCAATTGACAGTCTGGTGTCTGGGCAAAATGGTACCAAAGGGACAGTCACCACTTGAATCAAATTGAGAGATCTAAAGCAGCAGCTGTCTTCCTGAAAGGAAGAACATCAGGAACTCTGCCCCAAGGATGAGGTGGCTACTACAACATGATGGCAAGGTGGCTCAAGTTTCAAAAGAGACCTGCACTATAATGGAAAAGGAACAGTAAAGTAACAACTCAGTACTGTACTGTCAGCAGTACTAATAAGGGAAGAGGTTGGCCTATAAATCCCAGACTAGACACAGAAGAGGGACAGTTATAAGAGAAATTGCTGTTTGAGCCAGTGGTACAGGGGGTAGTATCACAGGGTAATCCACCACATTATGATAGACTGCATCAGTATTTTAGGCATGGCAATTTTTTTTTTCACTTAAAATAGATCTTTAATGGTAATGTGAGATCATCAAACAAATAGCAAATGCATAGCCTGTTAGTACTACTGCTAGGTTAGAGTTGGGTGGAATGACCTAGAAATAGAAGGTAAGGAAGGCCCTACCTCATGAGAGCGGAATTTGGTGTCATCCAGTTTACGCAGGGCATATTCCATGTCTTCTTTTCTGAGATATTCAACCATCCCCATTCCATCCTTCTGCACATCTGCATAACAGACATCTCCAGCTTCTCGCATGTGATCTTTCAGGTCCTGCCAGCTGCCTGAAGGAGGAAGTCCTAGGCACAGAAAACATAACCCACATCCTTCAGCCATGTCTACTGCCCTGATAAGAGTCAGCAATATCTATGGTCTCTTCTCTATGAATTGCTTAATTCCTAAGGGTCCCCAAATCGCAAATATTGATAAGGGACTCAAAACCAGAGAAAAGCACTGAGATACATGTGTGGTAATTGAGAAGCTGGTCCTAGTCTTATCTTCTAGAGACCAAACCTTCCCAACAGAGCAAAATTCATAGCCTCTTTCTTTGTTCTTCATAGTTAATGTCAAACTCCCAAAACTTCCCATTATGAAATTTATCAGTACCAATTATTTCTTGCCTGCAGGTTTTCCCAGGACATGGAAATTTTGAAATAAGCCAACAAAATAACCAAAGTGTAGCTGAAGTTTAACAACAAAAATCTAAAAAAGTTTGTTTTCTCATAGGAGCAAGTGACTGACAAACCAAACAAAGTACCTCTTAAGAGATCACCAACATTCTTCACTACAGTGGGGGGAAAGGTAATACTCAGACGCTAAAACTAGTCGGGAGTCATACAACCCTACCTGGTGTCATGAAAGGGAAATGTGCTCCTGCTCTCAAAGGCTGTGTTTACCGCTCACAGCTCAGGACTGCAGCCATTTCCTAATAGTTTTCTAAGCAGGATTTCAGAGCAGCATGGAGAGAAAAAAAGATAATGTATGACATCCTGAAGGAGGGAATAGAGTTCTAGGGTTAAAAAATTACAAAGGGACACAAGATAGGCAGATACTGAGTATCACTTTTAAGCACACGGTAACTGGCTGTGATTGTAGAACATTCACATATTAAAAAGGTGCCAGGTTCCTCAATACATTTCACTCCACTAGGGCCCTAATATTTCTCTGCAATGTGTAGAGGACCTTGGGTCTTTACCATTGTGTTAATGTTTCAAAGATACATAAACCTCTAAGAATTTTATCACTTGTTGATAAACAGAAATGTTTCATACTTTCCAATATAGTAAGATTTGGTTGTTGAGTTTTCTTTGGTTTGTTTTTAATATAATTCTCAAATCACCACAAAATCTCGCCTTTTTTAAGGATCCAAGGCTGAGTAAGTTGTTCCAGTCTGGCTCCTGTGATGTCTTTCTAGCAAGTCTGATAACAAGGTATGTTCCTAACGAAAACATCTTCAGATTTGAAACTCAAAGGGTTCTAACATCAACTTCAAAGTTCTAACATCAAAGTTTATCACCACTAGGTAACTCCTTTATAATCAGGTTTATGTTCTACCCAGAGTGAACTACTACTGCAATATCATTTGCAGGATACCTTCCTCACTGGCAGGCCAGAGCAGGGCTTTGGCACAGGTTACTGAAAAGAAAGCCCACATATTCCATGCAGTGAAGAATAACCGCTAACATTCCTTAGAAGCCAGACTCTACACTAAGTGGTATATGTATCATTTCATCAAGTTTGAAAGGAACATACCTGAAACAAGAACTCGGAAATCAGATCTTCTTGTAGGAGGGCCATTCCTCCCACCACGGGGCCACCCACCCCGACCTCCATAAGTCCTGGGGAACTCCACACGAAGCCGACACTGGCCATAATCATAACCGTTCCTTCCATAAATTGCATCCTCAGCATCTCTGCAAAGAAAGGTTTGAAATTAGTGCTGTCCAGGAAGCTGACTGATTTCCCAATGAGAGGCATAAAGTGAGTATAAATGGAAAGTAAAGGGGGAAAACAACAGTTTCTTTTTTTGGGGGGGTGGGGGGTATACTCAGGGGCGCTCTGCCACTGAGCTACATGCACAGCCTCTTTTAATTTTTCATTTTGAGACAAGGTCTCACTAAATTGCCCAGGCTTGCCTCCAACTTGTGATCCTTCTGCCTCAAACTCCTGTCACTAGGATTATAGGAGTGTCACTGGGCCCAGCATAAAACAGGATCTTAATGTACCTTTGCT